CTCTCTCTCTCTCTCTCTCTCTCTCTCTCTCCTTCCCTCCCTCCTTCTCTCCCCCTCTGCCCCTCCCCCACTCTCTCTCCCAAAAAATTTAAAAAATTTTTTAATTGAAAAAATTTAGAATGAGGATATTTAGAGTAGGCCAGATGTGAAAAGGCCGAGATTGGGCTAGACACACAGAGGGGTGAGCCTGATCCACAGAACCAGGCTCAATCCATAACAGCTCATCATCTGAAGTGGTAGGTGGATGTGTGGGGCGGGGGTGGGGGGTTGGGGAGGAATCCTGAAGTATTTGGCTCCCACACACCCTTCTGACAACATCAGAAAGACATCTACTATTCCAGGGTTTAAACCCTTGGCAATTTTGAAGGAAGGGGGGGCACTATGTCACGGGTCAGCAAACTCTGTCAGGGGCCACACACAATAAATATTTTAAGCTTTGTGGGCCACATGCAGCCCCTGTCACATGAGCCATCTGAAACAACATGTAAATGAATAGGAGTGGCTGTGCTAATAAAGTTTTCTTTACAGACACTGAAATGTCAATTTCATATAATTTTCACATGTCATAAAATATCTTTTGATTTTTTTTCAACCATTTAAGCATGCAAAAAGCATTCTTAGCTTGTGGGCTCTACAAGACCAGGAGGTGGGTCACATTTGACCCCAAGCCACGGTTTTTCCAACTCAAGGAGGCACCAAAACCCACCACAAACCCCAGTTACCTTTACTGTAAACCAGAGACGCATATCATGATAATTTTGCCATGTCTTGAACACACCAACTTTCTGAATATTTCTGCCACTTACAGTTTGTCCAGCTTGGGTCTACCCCTTGGTGATCCCTAAATCACAACTCTTTAGTTCTTTGTGAAAAACAATGAGGACCCTAGTCCCTCTCCTACCACTGCCACGCTGTTAAGGACAGACACAGGGCCCCAAATAAGTTTGTATCTAAAATTTTAAAAGATACTACCTTCAGGGGTGCCTGGGTGGCTCAGTTGGTTTTGGTTTCAGCTTGGATCATGATCTCATGGTTCATGGGTTTGAGCCCCCAGTCGGGCTCTGTGCTGACAGTCAGGTGCCTGCCTGGGATTCTCTGTCTCCCTTTCTCTCTGCCCCTCTACTCATGCTCGCTCTCTCTCTCTCTCTCTCGCTCTCTCTCCCTCAATAAACATTTTTTTTAAAAAAAGACTCAAGACTTCACTAAGATAGTAAGTGGATGGAATTTGAAGATAAAATATTATAAATAAATAAATAAATAAATAAATAAATAAATAAATAAAACCACCCTGAATCTATTCAGTCAGTAACAAGGAGTAAAAATCATTAAACAGGTTCCTACAGGGTCCTCGGGAATGTTTTGAAAGCTATGTCTCTAGCTCTGAAATGATCATGCTCCTACAAACTCCCGCTGTGAGACTGGACTGGATGGTAGGCTGCAGTTCCCTGTGTGGTTCTGACCCATCAGGGCAATGTTTATATCTTTGTGTCCTTTTCAGCTGGTTTACTAAGACAATAATGGGAAACATCTAGAGTCAGTGTGGCACACGGGAAGAACCTAGACTTTGGTGTCAAAAAGTCTAGATTTGAGGGGCGCCTAGATGTGGGCATCCAACTCTTGAATTTGGCTCAGGTCATGATCCCAGGGTAGTGGGATCAAGCCCTGCATCAGTCTCTGTGCTGAGTGTGGAGCCTACTTGGGATTCTCTCTCTCTCCCTCTCTGCCCCTCCCCCTGGCTCACTCGTGCTCACATTCTCTCTCTCTCCAGAATAAAGGGAAAAAAATTTTTTTTAAACAGTTAGATTTGAGTGCCCATTCTAGGTGATCCTTAGAAAGTCACCAAACCTGTTTTGCCTTCAGTTTCCCCATCTGGAAAAACAGAGATGATCAGAATATCCATTTCACAGAGTTGTTTTGAGGTTCAAAGGAAATAATATATATGTGCATAATAAACTAGAAATCACCATAAAAAAGTGAGTGCATTTAT